TTTCTTAAATCTGGCTCATCCCTTGGAATCACAGTATCATCTTTCAATCTTCACCTAGCTCCCCCCCAGCCCAACCCTCCAGTTTCTTTGCATTCTCATTTATGCATCCTCTTTTTGGTCTACTCTGTGTTACTCTCTCATCAGCTATTTTTTTCTTTCATGATGTGTCTCCTTTGGGGACCTCATACACTCTAATATCTTTGATTGTCCAAAACCAATTGAACCAATTACCTCCTCTCTCATCCACCAAATTGTATTCTCTAGTTTCTCCTTTATTTGTTCAGTGATAACAAGAGGCAACCTAAAAGTCAAGATAAAATACTGAGATTCATAGTCAATCCATTTCTATCCATCATTTCTTTCATAAGTTGTTCAAAGTTCTATTAATTTCTTTGCTCCTAATTATAACTTAAATGTATTCTCCCATCTGAATTTCTTCATTCATCACCTTGCTTCTGCCCTACATAGATATCCTGTAATATTGAATTTGCGTTTTACTTGGGCTCCTACCTTCAGTCTCATTCTCCTCCAATATATTCTTCATACTTTTCCTGAAGTGATTTTTTTTTTTTACAAATACAAATATGACCATACCATACAGAACCCAAAAGCTGCCAATGACTCCAATCATTTTTGTATCACCTAAAACTCTCTCATGAATAAGTACTACAGATTACTTGGTCTCATTATTTCCCTGATCCCCTGATCCTTAGCCATTCTAAATAATCACAATCTCTGATGGGAGAAGGCCATATTCTATTCAATATGTATATCTCCAGTGTCAAGCACAGTCTCTTATGCACAGAAAACTTGGTAAGTATTTGCTGAAAGAATATAAGAGTGAACAAGAGATGGACATATAAAGAATACAGATGAAGGGACTTTTTCATATTTCAAGGAAAGGAACAAACATGAGATCTTGTTTGTCAATAGCAAATGTCACATTTAATAATGTCCTTATGAGTTATTCTCTCTATATTTTATCTGCACCCTATATTCCTATATTTATGTCATCTAACATAGTGTCAGGTTTAGTTCTCCAGGAGTCAGTTACTTTTATGCAAGTGCTTATTGGAGAATACTCTTAACATTAGTACCTGTCAAAAGAGGAAAGCAGGATAAGTTGGAGGCAGAAGTTGAACTACAATGTAGTTGTAACAGACTTCACATAATTTCATAAGGAGATCTAGAGCTGGAATGGCCCTTTTAAGTTGTGTTGAATTGAGGCAAGAGGACTGGGTGTCTGTAACCCTGAACAGACTAGCCATTTGATGTGGACTACCCAGTTGCCCCCACTAAGGATGTATAATTTTGTATGAAGAAGATCCTCTTGTCAATGGAAAGAAGTATTCAGGCTCCCAGTAGCTGGAGGAAAGAACTGGGCCACTTATCCTAGCAATGACTATTCAATTTTCTGAAGAATGACTCACTGTTTCCCTCCCACTATATATGCTATCTTTTTAGCTGACCAAACCCTACATGAAATAAGAAACTCTCTATACCTCTTTCTAACCCCTTCTGGCCACAAGTTATCCCACTCATTCCAGAACACACAACTGACAGAATTTTTTCAGAATAACAAATATGATTTATTTAAATAACGTTCTTGGCTCTAATTACCTACAGATTAAAACACAAACTTCTATCCCATCATACATAAAGTATTCTTCCATTTGCTTCTCCTATCCTATGGCTCTTGGTCCTTGGGCCACAGTTTTTCTGAACTTCTTCATGCCCAAAACAACAATGGCCTTGGACTAATCTCTATTTTTCACATTTTTTTCCTATTTTTCCCTCTGCCTAGAGCTGAAAATGTTCTCCTGCTTTAAGAAGCACCTTAGAGCTCTCTCTTTTATAAATCTTCTTCCAGCATCCTCAGGCAAAATCAAACACAGTTTTCACTGATGTGTTTATGAACACCAGTAGAATATGCAGTGTTGTATTGTCATAATTTGCTTAAATGGTGCTCTCCCTTTATCTTAATCTGTGTAACATACTGTCTCCCATATATGCCTACACATAGTAACTACTAGATATAAGTTCACTGAATGATTGAAAGAATAAATGAATGTCCTAGTAGGTTTAGTCTAGCATATACCTTTGAATATCAAGTCAGCAAATACAGCAAGTATACCTAAGAGATTGTTGTAGGAGTATGTGTCTAATGTGTTTCTCTATTTTGCTCTTGTTTATATTCTTTTTTCCCCCTATCATTCAGAAAGCTGGAAAACCTATTGTTTCCACCTACATTTCCCCAAATGCCTGAAAATCACTAAATGTATGAGCAATATTTTTCAAGCAATGATCTAGGAGCAAATCACTATATTAAGACATTAATGGATTTTTCTTTTTTTTTTTTAAAGATTTTATTTATTTATTTGACAGAGACAGAGATAGCGAGAGCAGGAACACAAGCAGGGGGAGTGGGTGAGGGAGAAGCAGGCTTCCCGCCGAGCAGGGAGCCCGATGCGGGGCTCGATCCCAGGACTCTGGGATCATGACCTGAGCAGAAGGCAGACGCTTAATGACTGAGCCACCCAGGCGCCCCTAAAGGATTTTTCTAAGACTGTATCTTTTGTGTTACAGTTCTTGATTCACTTATTTCTCCCTATAAATGCCATATACTTATGCTTATGTATAATTTTTTGTTTGATCATTAGCTACTTGGATATCTGTGACTTTCACTATATCTTAATTATAATATAAACAGCAATAATATAAACAGGAATAATTATAATATAAACAGCTGGAAATTATAATATGAACAGCAATAAAATATACCTTTTGAAAGCTTCTTGTAGCAACAATCATTCATTTTTTAAACAAATATTTTATGGTCATGATAAATCCCACACTTCTATCCCAGTAAAAAATGATAAGGACCTAAAGAGACATTTCTCCAAAGAAGACATACAAATGGCCAACTGGCCAACTGGCCAACTGGAAGTGACTGCTCAACATACTAATCATTAGAGAAAAACAAATGAAAACCAAAATGAGATATTAGCTCACACCTGTTAGAATGCTACCTTTAGAAGTTGTTAATTCATGCATTTAGGCTTTCTTATTTGCTCTGTACTCATTTAGTCCACGGATGGAGTTCAGTAGAGAAAACTTTTTCTGCTAATGTCCACGAAGAAGAACTGATTATTCCTTCAAGTTGAAAGAAGATTTCCCCTGAGATGGAATTTTATGTTTTGGATTATTTTACTTTCCGTGTTTCTGACAACTACTGGATATGTTTAATTACTGGGCAATTCAGTGAAATCGTGGCAGGATTTGTTCCTCCAAACTAGTTTCTAATTTATCTTACATTTCATTGTAATGTTTTTGTATTTCATTACAAAAAAAACTAGGATGTAAATGCGTGTCAAATGCTTGTTTCGCATTCAGAAATACAATTTCATTTCACTATCGACTTTTAATTGAGCTCGTCATCTTTCTCTATACAAAGTGGTAGGAAAATGTCCTTCCTGAGATTAGAACTGAATCCACACAGGGCACTCTGTTCCCTAATGTAATATGGGATGCAAATTATTAAATAAGCAAAATATATGGATATGTAGCTTTTTCCATGGGTGCATTAAATATGTGCATAAACCTGTTCCATTTTCTGTTTTCTTTGATATAATTAGTATGCACATTTTTTCCCCACTACTGCCTTCCACAAAATGTAAATCTTTTCCACTATAAAGCAAGCATTCTTGCCTTCTTGCTTAGAGTATCTTGTTTTGTATCATAAGCTTATATATACTGCAAAAGTAAAAGGCAACTACTTTCACATATATGAAGGAAATAAACAATATGGATAAATGATTCACCCACTTTAATCAACTGGTTGTTATAACTATGATTCCTTTGTTCTTAAATTATTCTGGACAGTTTATAAAATAAAAAATAGTGGTTTTTTGGTATCTTCCCACATCTGGAAATGTGACAAATAAGCTATTTCTAAACATTAATAGTGCAATGAATCATATAGTATCATTTTAAATATACATATGGAAATGGATTGGCAAATAACAGGACTTCTCTCTGTATCTTATATGTGTGACTATGAAAGGAAATATTATTCAGGCAAAATAATGTTTTAATAATTTTCATTTTTGAAGTGTTTTACAAATACATAATATTAAAATATTAAAATGATGTCTTCCCAGTTCCATGCTGGAAATTGGAAAATATTCATTTTTAGGCAATAATGCTTACTTTTATTAAATGCTCTTTAATTTATATTAATCACAATATTAAAAGCAAAATAAAAAGTAGAGCAAAAAAGTAGACAATTTTGCAGTCTGTGAGAAAGAAATTTTTTTTTTCCTGTGGATGTCCTGCCTATATTCAGAATGGAGTATTTCATCTATTGTATCTTGCTCGGTGTTTGCTCAATCAACAAACTCTTAAATGATATATATTAAACAGGTACCATGCACCCAGCACTGTGCAATGGAAAATACCAAAGAAGACATTGTTTTTGTCCTTAGAGGGCTCACCATTTAATTGGAGAAGCAAGAAACAAAAAGTAATGAAAAAACACATGCCCAAGGACTTGGCACTTGGTATAAATGTGCTAACAATTCAGAAAAGAGAAAGATTGATGTGGAATGTAATTATAAGAGTTAACTAAGGGCAACAATGGAGATTGTGTTAGATTTACTACCCCGATTTTGATTTCTCTTATCTCCTCAGCCATCCATAATTTTGTCCATTCTTCTTTGTAAAATCAACTTCAATTTCTTATTTGAAATCAATCTTGAAATCTACCCACTTATCTTATCTGAGCTCATGTTTTATTAACCAATCTGTTTATTGGTCATTTGTATTTCTACTCTGTAAGAGACGTTTTCATGTCTTTCACACATGTTTTTGAAAAAGTGTACTTGTCTTTCCTTTATTAATTTATTTACTTATTTCTATGGTTCCTTATTTTTTTTTTTTTTAGTTTAGCAATAATACTTAGTTTTTAAAATGGAAACTTAGGTTAACAATTCATGTAGTTTTTAGTTGTTTTCCTAGGAAAAAAAAAACCACTGTTGTTTTAGGTGTACTTCTACTGTTCTTGTTTTTCTTTGATAGTTTCATTCATTTGATCAGTGAGCATGTACTAGGTGCTGAACAAATATTTACTGAACAAACACTAGAAATCAATTTTCCTACTTACTGATTATATCAGTTAACTGAGGTCACATTTTTGTTGACTTTAAATTTTTTCCTATTGTTTTGTGGAAATATTGGTCCACAGACCAAAAAGTGCTTTCAGTTATCTGTGGTAATCATAACTGATGAAATACAGTGAGGTATTGGTTTTCAGTACCTCATAAATTAGTCATTATTAAATAAAAATGGATTCTTTCTGTAGAAAGAGAAGAAAGAAAATTAGACAATAGTTTGCACACATGATGTGGTGGTTTTCAAACATGTTTTTACATTCTTTGATTCATCCTTGGTTGCAAGATGGAATCAATTTCCCCCTCTCTTTGAACAGACTGATCTTTGTAATTGTCTCAAGGAATAGAATATTGTGAGAAATGCTGTGTGACTTCCAAGGATGGGTTGAAAAAGCCATGCAGTTTCAACCAATTTCTCTTGGGACATTCATTCTGGGAGCCTTCAGCCTCCTCCTAAGAAATATGGCTACAAAGAGAGAGAGAGAGAGTATAAGACTATGGCTTGAGGAGCCTTAGCTGTTAGTATTTTTCCAGTCTAGATGTCAAACGTGAATGAAGAACACTTTGAAATGACCCCAGCCCCGACCACCCATTTGACTGCAATCACATGAGACTCTCCAGCCCCCAAAGAAGACCCCAAATGAGAAATGCCTATAGCCCAGTCAACCCACAGATTTGTGAGCAAAATAAATAATAAGGTTTTAAAATACTCCTGTAAGGTGATTTGTTACTTAGCAATAATCAGATAATAATTATGAAATGAAACAATTCAAACTTTTCATTACATATTCTACTGAAATGTCTTATATCTGAATCAAATATCATCTTATAACATGTCTTCTTACCTGTATCAGAGCTACTTCAAAATTAGACTTCCATGATTCTGGAGAGAAAAAAACAAATTAGACCAGATGTACTTAAATTAAACTTTAAAAGGTTTACATTTTATATTAAATTACTGAAAATAATAACTATCTGTATTTTTGTCACACTTTTAATACTTAGTCCCTTTCAAATGAGAATTTCATTTAAATTAAATATATAGAAATAGACATTATTTCAAGAAACCAATAAAAATTTCAAGTTTCTGTCAAGAACCAAAACCACATTCGTTACTAAAGAATGTTCTTCAAGTTGACGTTTATGAAAGATAAATAAAAATAAAAATGGTAGATATATAATATTTAGTTATAAAAAGCCTTGTTTCCTTTTCCTTTAATATATATTCCAATGTAGCAATATAAAATAAACTCAACAGAAAAATTCAAATATATTACTTGCTCCAGGCTTGGGTATAACAAGGTAAAAATATCAATTATAAAGAAGGAATTACTTTTACTCTTTCCTAGTTCCTCCATCATCCTGATTTGTGAAATTTATAATAGTTTAGGGTTTAGTTAATTTGTGGCTTTGCTCCTCATATAGTACAGTCTTTGACCACACAGGTCAAAGAGTTTCATGAGTGTTTTGTTAATAAATGTCTTCCTGCTTTTTTACAGTTGCATTTAGTTTGGCATAAAAACATGACCTTATATGCAGCAGTATAAATGAAGAATGAATAAAAGTTACTCATAAATTAATGGTCTTGGCTTTGCTTAATCTTACAATGAATCCATTGCCAACTATAATTAATGAGGGACAAACTCATGAAATAAATGCAGTTAGGGAACTTGAAAAAAGAGAAGAATAATAATAAGCATTTATTTTTCTTTACTTTTTCCTCCCTTTACATGTTTTTTCACTAGCTTCTCTGCAAAGAAAATATTTAAAGATTTAATTGGGTTTTATGGACTTAAAGAAAGTGAAATTTGAAGGGGATGGTATTGAAAATTAAAAATATTTTTGGTAGGAAAAATCAAATGATTCACTGATAAAATAGAGAAATAAAAAATCCAGATAAGAATTTTTTTTAAATGATAAAGCAAAATAGAATAAGAAGCATTGTAGTAATAAGTAAGAGGAGATGAATTTGGTGAGGAAACCAGTATTTTGTAGATTCCTTTCATCCTTCAATTTTCATCTCTTCTATTAATTCAAAACAAAACGGACAAAATCAAAGTCTAGATTTGCCATTCCAGGGACATTATTCTCTCATTTGATACAGACTCTTCCTTGTTCCCTAAATGATCTGCACATTCTTGCTGCTGGAAAAAAAATCACTGCTATGCTTTCTCTCTGGGCTAAACACCTCCTTGTTTCTTTAAATCCTACATTTCAAATTACAACTCATGCCCCAATTCCTCTAATACATTTTTAAGTGTTTTAAGATTTTATTTATTTGAGAGAGAGAGCCTGTGGAGGGAGGAGCAGAGGGAGTGGGACAAGCGGACTCCACGCTGAGCATGGAGCCCTGAGTCGGGGCTGAGATCATGACCTGAGCCGAAAACAAGAGTCAAATGCTTAATTGACTGAACCACCCAGGTGCTCCTATACTCTAATAAATTTTTATTCATCACTCTAGCCCTAAAATCCTATACCCCTTTTAGCTATATCACTTAATTGGGTTTTGCATAGATAATTTTGTAATTTATGAGAACACTCTAAGCTTTAGTTTTCTCACCTGTAAAGTGGAAATAACAAGACATTTCTTGTTATTTCTTGTAAAAATAAAAAAAAAGCTTGTATAGATGTATAAATATAGTAAGTTCTATGTCAACATAATTTTTTTGTTATAACATTAACCTTGTATCATTATTTATGTTTTGGATTATATGTCCTACTTCAACAAATGTAATGTAGACTATTGAATATTTTTGCTGTGTTTACAGTATATTTTTTATAGGATAGATTCAGTGATTCATCACTATCACTTTCCATGTCCAATTTTGTGTTCTCTACCTTTAAGGGATCTATTTGGCTCTATCTGGAGCTTTGTTCCTCTTATCTCTCTGCAATGTACCAAAGAAATATGATACAAAGGCCATCAAGCTGAAACTCAAAGTTGCTCTCCAGCTATATCATAACCAACAGAACAATTTCCTCTGCATGCAATTTTGTTTCTATTTCTACAATCAAGTCTTATTGTTCAGCCTTTTTCCTTGTTCAATTCTAGAACAAGTAGAAACTCAGATATTAGTGTTAGTTCCACAGAATTCTAGTTGAATCATTTATAGATAAATTTAGGCTATACACATATTTTTCTTTCTTGGAGGACTGGTATTTAATGTATGGTTGGAAAGCATAGTACGGTGGAAAGGATCTAAATTTGAGAATCATACAGAGGTATGTTATATTTCTTGATAAATAATTCTTTTGTCATATAATCTCAGAATTGCTTAGGCTCTCTGTCCCTCACTTAACAAATAACTATAAAAAGATCCCAAATTTTGGGTGCCTGGGTGGCTCAGTTGGTTAAGCGACTGCCTTCGGCTCAGGTCATGATCCCAGGGTCCTGGGATCGAGTCCCGCATCGGGCTCCCTGCTCTGCGGGGAGCCTGCTTCTCCCTCTCCCACTCCCCCTGCTTGTGTTCCCTCTCTCGCTGTGTCTCTCTCTGTCAAATAAATAAATAAAATCTTAAAAAAAAAAAAAAGATCCCAAATTTTGATCATATCTGGTAAGAAATTATTAATCTTTACTCTGTGGCACATCCTCTTATCAATTCTCAAGAACTTAAAATGCAAATGCTAGGATACATGGACCTTCTTTTGCTATAGTTCACTATTGTATCTGGGTGCCTTTGAAGTGTCCTTCTTTCTGCAAAGTTTCACTTTCCAGGTCTTGCACATAACACATCAAGGTGATTTAGATATCCTGCTTAACCAAAGGAATAATTTGGGAGAGTTTATCTCAGGCTTTGGCTTAATAGTTACATAATTTAGCTTTTGCTATATAATAAATACTCCAGACTGTAGTGGCTTAAACCAACATTTATTATCTATAGATCCTCTGGCTATGTGTCTTTCACAAGGCTGTAATCGGTGTCATCCTGTGCTACAGCCATCTTAAAGCTTGAGTGGGGTGGATACTCTTTCAAGATCATTTACAAGTTGTTGACAGGATTCATATTCTCATGGGTCTGCTGACCCATGTTGAGTATAGATCTCAACATTTGAGCTTAGTACATCAGAGCTTGCAAACAACAGGGCAAGAGAGAAATAATGAGCAATATAGAATTCAAGATTCTTTTAAAGCTAATATAAAAAGTGACATCCCATTTATTTTGCCATTTTCTATTTTGCAAAGGCAAGTCACTTGGTCCAGCCCACACAAGGGTATGAATCTGAGAAGGTGGGAGTCACTGGGAACTATTTCAGAAGCTGCCCACAACACTGATATTCTCTTAACACAACTTTAGGAGGTTAGTTCAGTTAAGCAACAGTTACTAAGGTGTATAATATGCCAGGCAGTAGACTAGGATAAAATGATGAATAATATACTATCTCCGCCTTAGAAGAGTTCATAATCTATTCTGGAAACCAATGGGTCTGGTTCTATCATGCACAAGCTACTATATGGGAAAATAAAGAGATTCCTAATCTAGCCTTCAAGATCAGGAAAAACTTCCCAGTGGAGGAAATTGGGTTAATTTTTGACACATAAAAGGAGAAGAGGCCACATATCAAGAGGAGGAAAATAGCTATTCAAATGTACTAGGGCATGCCACAGGCCAGTACATTACAGGGTGTGTTCATAATAATGTCCATGCTGAGCCCTTTAGAAGATGTTGTGGCATAAGACATTTTTTCCAGTGTATGCACAAAACACTCTACAATAAAAAGATATTACTAGGTATTATTAGTTCTCTTCTATTCACTAACCCCTGGCTCATGGTGAGCTCTCCTACTTCTTATGAGGTTTTCCTAGAGGGTTACTCTGTAGAACCCATTGCTCAAAACGGATACTATCCAAACTCAGGTTCTCAGGGAAATTGGTAATAATCACATATAACTCCCCATACAAATTCAAAGTGTTTATAGAGACTAAATACCATCAGCAGTCCTAATACCCCTGCTTATTCTTATAAGCAAACATTCAAATTAAGGTATAATAATGTTAGACAGTTTCCCTACAAATAGGAATTTTTACATTTGTACCAATTATAGAACCTGTTAATGTTGCAAAAACAGTTTTTAATGAATAAAAAAATTAGAAATAAAAAAGTCACAACAAATGTATAAAATTCAATGGACATTTTTTTCTCTCTCTCTGAGGAACATTTTATAATATAAATTAACCCTCCTTGAAACATTGTCTTCCCTTGGTTCCTCTGACGCAATCCTTTTCTGATTTATGTTCATCTCTGGATGCTCATTTATGTATGTATTTCCAGGTCATTTATAAATAAGTAGATGCTAGTGTCTTGGAAGGAAGACAAATATCACACATTTATTTAATCTTAGAATTCAGGAATATATCTAGATTGTATTTCAATCATTCCAGTGGAGAGAAGAGTCTCCCCATTCCTCAGAGATGAGAGTTTTCCTCAAGAATATAACTATTTCCTTTCTGCAGATCTGCTTGCTCTGGAAAATTTTGAGTTTTTATATCTGCTACCAACTTATACATGGCTCTAGAATTTCATGGTATCAATTATTTCCCCGTCTCCAAAAACTTAATAGCTACAGGGCTGCTGGGACTATTAACAAGAGCAGTAACTCAAAGACTTGGCAGGAAACAGTGATCTTTATCATCAAAATCCTGAGCTGTTAATCTGTGCTTATTTTAAGGGAATACAAATTTCCTATACTGTAAGTTAATATATAGAATAAGAAGGTAAAACACAGCAATGAGAAACACACTTTCTCATTAACCAGCTTGAAAATGGTCGCTGGTGATTTTATCTACCTTAACACTAAAGAAGACCAAATGCATGGCCCTCCAATTATCAAAAATTGTGTCATTAAAAGGTCTGAAATTATTTTTTTCTTAAAATATAACAACAACAAAAATATGTACAAATAAATGGGCAAATAATGCCATTTAACTTGGATTTTGGGGTAGGGAGCATTTGGGAATACAGACTAAGGAGTCAGAATGCACTAGTGCATATTTGGATCTGCATCTTAGCCATATTATTATTATTTTTATTTTAATTTTTTAAGTAATCTCTACACCCAATATGGGACTCAAACTCACAACCCTGAGATCAAGAGTCACATACTCTACTGACTCAGGCATCCAGGCACTGCATAGCTGCATTATTTTGAAAAAATTACTTAACCACACTGGTTTCTCAGTATCATCTTCTAAAAAGTGGGGAAAATAGGTAGCACCCATCACAGGAAATTTTGTGTGAATTAAAGGAGCTAATATTTGAAAATGAACAAAAGGGCAGCAGGGACACACTGTCTCAGACCTAAAATATTAAAAATAAAATATGTCTTCAGTAGATCATGATCACTACTTTTCAAATCGTAAAGGTGGTTGTTAAAAATGACTTAACAAAAAGAATTTGGATTAAGACTTTAGAGGTCCCTGGGGCATGGTGATTATGCTCTTGACTGCAATCATTTCTTTACTAGGGATTTATCTGTCAGCAGTGGTAGTTGAAGTGGGCAATTAGTCACATTAATTCCTCTACCAATATTTATCATTATTATTTTGCTAAAACAGAACTGAGGAATCCATTAGACTAAAGATAAATACACATGGTTACCAATTCAATAACTTATATGTAGATATATGTAGACATAATGTTATACTTTATAGATTTTTCTAATTTGCATTTCCATGGTGATCAGTGATATTAAGTATCTTTTCATATACCAATTGGTAATTTGTATATATTCTTTGGAGAACTATCTATTCGAGTCCTTTACACATTTTTCATCCAATTATGTTATTTTTTAAAATATTGAATTGTGGGAATTTCTTATATATTTTGGATGTTAAGCCCTTAATAAGATATAGGGTGTGCAAGTATTTTCTCCCATTTTGTAGGTTGCCTTTTCATTCCATTCATTGTTTCCTTTGTTGTACAGAAGCTTTTTCTTCAAACTTGTCTGTTTTTGCTGCTGTTGTTTGTGCTTTTGGTGTCATGTCCAAGAAATCATTGCCAAAACCAATGTGGTGAAGCTTTTCTCCTGTGCTTTCTTTACAAATTTTACAGTTTAAGATCTTAATTTAATCAAATTTGAGTTGATTTTTGTGTATGACATAAAGTAAGGATACAATTTCATCCTTTTGTGTGTGGATATTCAGTTTTGCCAACACCATTTGTTGAAGAGGATTATACACCAAGACCATGTAGGATTTATCCCTGGGATACAAGAACACAAATCAATTAATGTAATACACATATTAACAGAATGAAGGATAAAAATCCTATGACCATCTCACAGATACAAAAAAGAATTTAACAAAATATAACACCCTTTCATTAATAAAGACTCTTCACAAACTAGGAATGGAAAGAATTTACTTCAACGTGATAAAGGCCATATATGAAAAGCCCCCAGCTAACATCTTAATCAATAGGAAAAGCTGAAAACTCCTCTAAGATTAGGAACAAGGCAAGGATGCCCACTCTCACCACTTCTATTAAACATGGTACTTGAAGTTCTAGCAAGAGCAATTAGGCAAGAAAAAGAAATAATAAAAGGCATCCAAATTAGTAAGAAAGAAGTAAAATTATCTCTGTTTCCAGATGACAGGATCTTAGATATCGAAAACCCTAAAGACTCCCCCAAAAAGCTTTTAGAATTAATAAAAAATTCAGTAAAGTAAAATCAACATGCAAAAATTAGTTGTATTTCTATACACCAACAATGAGCTATCAAAAAGGAAACTAAGGAAAAAAGATCCCATTTACAATAATATTAAAAAGAATCAAATACTGAGGAATAAACTTAACCAAGGAGGTGAAACAACTATCCACTAAAAAAAATACAAAACATTGATGGAAGAAATTAAAGAAGACACAAGTAAATGGAAAGATACCTCATATTCAGAGGTTTGAAGACTTAATATGGTTAAAATGTCCCTACTGCTTACACCTATCTATAATTCAATATAATCTCTATCAAAATATCAATGAATTTTTATTTGCAAAAATAGGAAAAAAATCCTAAAATTCATGTGGAACCACTAAAGACTCTGAATAGCCTAAGCAACCTGGAGAAAGAACAAAGCTGAGTCATCACAATTCCTGATTTTAAAATATGCCACAAAGTTATAGTAATTCTAGCAGCATGGTACTGGCATGAAAACAGACACCTAGACCAATGGAAGAGAATAGAGAACTCAGAAATAAACCTATGGATATACTGTCCACTGATCTTTAACATGGGTACCAAGAATATACAATGGGAAAATGAGAGTCTCTTCAACAAATGGTATTGAAAAACTGGATATTCACAGTAAAGTTACTTAAATATGATCAGTTCCACATTGCACCATTGACTGTATAAAAAAGTAAAGTTTCTGGGGGACCTCGTTGGCTCAGTCAGTTAAGCTCCCACCTCTTGATTTCGGCTCAAGTCACAGTCTCAGGGTCATGAAATTGAGTCCCGGGTCAGGTTCTGTGCTCGGTGGGGAGTCTGCCTGAGATTCTTTCTCCCTCTGTCCCTCCCTCTGCTCATGCTCTCTCTCTCTCAAATAAATAAATAAATCTTTTTAAAAAGGTAAAGTTACTTTAATTTGCATAGACATCAATGACATTTGCCTCTTAAATCATCTTTGTACATCTTAATTCACATCCCAGAAAGAGTAATAGGCCTATGTTTGTTTTGCATATTTTTTCGTAATTTTTTAACCTGAAAGTTTAATAATTTGGAGTATTAATCCATTGCCAAATATTCCAGCAAAATGTAGATGTCAAAGAGACTATCTTAAAGAATCATGGCCCTTTGTGAACTACTCTCAGGAGGAAATGCACTCAAAAATGAGCTGTCTTCAGTACGTGCAATAGCAGCTCCCATTTTGATGCTTAAGACTATGATGTGTCATCTGCTCACAATTATTCCATCTTCCTGCATACTTCTCATTCACGACTGCTGATTCTTGCCTTTCTTCTAGGACCAATTTTGGCTCTCCTCTCCCCAATGACTCTGCCCACAAATTGCATTCATATTTAAAAAACATTCACTTTATTTCAACAGTCTTTGAAAGTTCCACCTGACGAACTAGACAATGAATTCCATAACAGCATCATCTTTTCTTTCATATCCTCCACAATACTCATTAATTCCTTGACTCTCAATTATGTTTAACCTAATGATAAATTTAATAACATGTAAGAATTATAATCTCCAAATTGAATCTATGCTCACTGTCTACCACCAAGGGTATTCAAACTTGCCATATCTGGTTATAGAAATACATCTTAATCTGGAGAAATCAAGAAATCCTTGAATGGCTGGCAGTGATGAAAGTAGAAATAGGTATATCTCAACCAGGGGCCAGTGAGAAAATGAAAGCACCATTAACAGATTAAATTAGAACCCAATATAAGCTTGAAATTCAAAGACAGGGCCAGGAAGGTGAAGGTTAATAATGTAACCAGGTTTTAAGGGGTCAATGGATCATTAAAACTAAGGATGCAGACACAAAACAGCTCAGAATGAGTCTTGTAAGGAAGGACTATAGTACAATGGTGGTAAGGTCCTAAAACTTTTAAGTTCAAGGTAGTCCATATTGAAGACTGACACCTTCCTATATTCAAGCATTTCTCAGTGCAACTGAGTTCTGTATTTTCTAATGGGAAACTAAACAATTACAGCTGGGAGATGGAGCACATGTAACTGAATGCCTCCTATGTTCCAAACACTTTCTACATGTCATTTCCATTAATTCTCTCATTAGTTTATAACATACATTTATTTCCATTAACCAAAGAAGAAACTGAGAGTCAGAGAGGTGGAGTGATTTTTCAACACTAATAAATAATGTATCTGCAATGGGAAATTTTGTCCAATTCCAAAGTACATTTTATTCCCTATTCTGTGTTGTCTATCAATGAAGAATATCATCTTAAGGGATAAGGCACATTTATCTTCTGTTTATGGTTATGAGTAAGGGACAGGTGGGGCTAGGTAAGGAGAGATAGATAGGGGGCTATGTGATCAGGTTCACAGAAATCCCCTGAAGTATAGGGAAACCAGAGATAAGGGAACAAACTGGACCCTACCCTGCCCTACGCATGTGGGTGGGTGTCTTTTTTAATGATAATCACCTGTGACCAACCCTAAAGGCCCTCAGTGGCAACCCTGGGACCCCTCTCACTCTTGAGAGTTTTTCTTTTTTTTCTGTATCCTTGCTTAATAAACTTCTATTGCTTTACTCATTCTCCTTTGTCCATAAGATTCATTCTTCGACTCTGTGAGACAAGAACCTAGCTGTCCAGCTTCAGTTAGGCAGACATACACTTACACAAAACATGGTTGCTTCATGTCTCATGGGTGCATGTTTATGTATTTGTTTGATGGTTTTAATTCGAGGCTAAAACTCCAACCTCTGAATCTTTGGTTTGGAATGCCTCTTCTCAACATCGATTCTCCATGTTCTCCACATTGCACGATATTACAGGGTATCTGATTCTACTTGACTCATCTCCTAAGGAAAGTCCTGACTTTTCTATTTAACATTTACAGGAATTAATTTCAATACAGATGAGACAAATGAGTGCATGTGTGAATGTGTATGTGTGTGTGAATGGAAATAATTAATGTTAAAACAAAACAATGTGGGAATAAATATTACCTGAATATCCTGGGCATCAGTTGAGCTAAATACTTTTGCAAGAAGAAAGAGCAAGTTGAGCAGCCACCCTCTTCTTCCATCTCCTTCTGTTATGCCAGTGCGTTTTATTGTCTCCCAAGTGATTTTGTATGCAGCTATAAAGTTTCAGGCAGTCAGCCATTATGCAGGTATTTCCCAGCCTCTGAATTGCCTTATAGTTACATGATGGATCTGTCACAAAGTGAACACGAATAGAATGAAAGTAATAAACAGAGATTGAAATTGGTTAAATATACTACTATAGTGCTGCAATAATGTCAACCCATTCCTTCTCCACCAACCAAAGATTACAATTACTTGAAAAAACAATAAAAAACAAATGCCATTCTTCAGAACCTTTGGGAAGTGGTTAAATCTTCACAAAGCAAATGTTTCTACAAAAACCTTTTGGGCACAATGAGCCTTTTGGAAGAAAATAATTTGATCCTGTTTCTTTTTAGAGATTCTCACCAAAGGGGCAGGAAACCTTCTACCAACATACTCACCTAGGAAAGAGAAGACTAGAGTTTGCTAACAGGCCCTGTTTCAACTGCATATATATCTTTCTTGCATTCTTATAATGAGCCTGTTTTTACAGGGTGAACATATTTCAAATGTAAACAAAGAAAAAATAAGCTGAAAGCTGCTAATGTTAAGTTTAGAGCTTGCAGAAATATCAACTAGTGAAGAACAGCTGCCAGAATAAGACTCTTGTACTCATAGAGATGATTTTTCTCACAGAATTTGAAAGAAATTGTAATGATGAATCATAAGCCCTGCTATAAATAAATTATGACTGCAAATTGCCAGATACAGAAATATTCTCATTAAAGTCCATTGTCTTTGAAGACAAAATTACCTCATTTATTATTTCAGTAGACTCAAACCAATTTAGAACAATTAAAGCCTGCATTATCAAGCACGGTTGATATGCACTGAAAATACATTAAAAGAGAAACAGGTGCTGTTCCAATTTAATAGGATCAATCTCTGACTATCTACTACATGAAGCATGTTACTTTGTTGTAGAAACAATTTAGAGTGTTCACTGAATGGATGCCAATTTCTAATCAGCCAAGGACAACGTGGCATCATCCTATGCCAACTGATTCATTCATTTATTTATTCATTTATTCAATCAATCCTTCCACATTTCTACTGCACTTACTATGTGCAAGACAATTAACCAAGCATGATGGGAAATTCAAAGACGGCTCATGCATATTCTTTAGGAGAGTAAAAATGACATGTACTCAAAGAAAGGTAATTTAAGATTGAAACTGAGTTACACATGTAGTGCCAAGAAGTTGAAAGGAATGAAAGCTGAGTTTTTGATTGGAGAGGCCAAGGAAGCCTATGAGAAATTGACATTATGTGAACTAGGGACTGAAGAGTATAAGATCACTCCATCTTTTTGATATTCAAGAAGAATATTCCAGGAAGGATGAAGAGTGCGAAACACAGCAAAGGGGGAGGAATAGTGAAGAGTTTAGTCTAGAATGAATGATGGAGTATTAAAGAAAGTTGCACTAGACTAGACTAGACTGAAAAAGTCAAAGCCAGAGCAGAAGCTTAAAATCAATGGTTCTAGATATATTTGGTAAACATTAGGGCACAATTGAGAGCATGTAAGTGGATTAATGGTGCAATCAGAATGAACAGAAGTATACAGGAAGGGTTCTGCATGCTGTAACTAGGGAACATTTACAAGGATAAAAACACTATATGACTTCTAAATTAGCATGTGGAGAAGTGGGGTGTATACAATCAATCTGAAAGCAAAGAAAAAAGGATAAAACATTGAAAATTAAGTAATTTCAATGGAGTATTAATTAAAATAATACATAGTAAAATAATGGGATGAATTTAAAATAGGTAAATGTGCATATTAGACAGAAAAAAAATAAAAGTTAAATTTAGAAAAATAACACTATAAACCTGGAGAATGTTGATGGAAGACAATCATAGAGAAAACACTTATTAATAAAGTAGAAAATGAGCAATGGTAAGGATCAAAAAATTCATATTTTGAAATGTCTAATTAAAATGAGGTAATTCTGGCATGAGTGAACAGTAAAAATACGAGAGAACATTCAAATAACCAAAGTCAGAAAAGACAAAGGCAACATTGCTAGAGGTGTTGCAGGTATTCAACCAATGAACCAACCAAAGGGGATTATGAATCAATTTATGCTCCAAACTAGAAAGTGGAAATTAAATGGGTGAACTAAAAATATAATCACCCAAACTGACACAGGGAGAAATTTAAACAAATGAATAATTCCAGAACTATTAAATAAAGTTAGTGTGTGTGATCAAACAAATAAGCATAACTCTTCACAAAAGACTAGCTGGTTTCATCAGTTAAGTTCCACCAAACACTCAAGGCAGAAAGACTGCTCATCATATGTAAAAATCTATCAGAGAATAGAAAAAGTATGATCATTTTATAATTCAATATATGAACCTAGTCTAATCTTGAGTCAAAATCTGATAAGAACAGGGAGCCTGGGTGGCTCAGTTGGTTAAGCGACTGCCTTCGGCTCAGGTCATGATCCTGGAGTCCCGGGATCAAGTCCCGCATTGGGCTCCCTGCTCGGCAGGGAGTCTGCTTCTCCCTCTGACCCTCCTCCCTCTCATGCTCTCTGTCTCAAATAAA